ACCGGGCAGGAAAAACGTTCAGTTGAATGTTCAGAACTCTTGGAATAAGACTCAGACTCTTCGACTATGAACGAGACATTGCAAAAAATTGATCTGCATCCTTGTCATTAAGAACCGGTATAAGAACTTCTCCATTCGTATCTTTCCCAAAGAGTTTACATTTACGAATACTGGAACCTTCATTTAAGTATACCTCCTGGATCCATTTTCATTGACAAAACTACGGTTACAAAGATGGAAAAAAATGTCCAAGAAGATTACGCGGTCAACCAAAAACCCTCATGCTGTTCAAGAAACTCATTTTCAAAAAAGATTATCCGCAAACTTTTTGGCTCAAATACTTTGTAATAAAGATATTTGACTACATTTCTTTGTAGGAAAATTTCGATGTATGTGATGCACTTCATGCAAAACCTGAATTTAAAAAAATAGCTAACATTTACTTAATGCTCTTGATAGCCACTACCTATTCAAATAAGTATAAAACTTGATAATTAATGAAATAACATCAAACTAATTCAGTTCTTTAATGGCCCATTTAGAGGAATTTACAAGCAGCTATAAGAAGTCATTATTCAGTCCAGAACCCACTCAGGATAACCAATATTACGTTTGTAGCTTTTGAACTAAAGGTTAAATTACCGAAAAAGCAACCAACCTGAACGATTTGAACTAAAAAAGGAGAGGTCGTAAACCTAAATTGCCTGGAATTGTCTTACCATGTCAATTAATACGGCATGGGTATAGATTTTAGATTTCTATCGAGGAAAATTGATGTTCGAACCGATTTTTACGTAGGATTATCAGATTGGTTTATTCTAATCCGGGAGGCCGCTGGCTATCGTGATCTGGGATTCTCTGGCAGATCAAGATATTGAAAATGTTAACATCGGGGTTTTCATTTTTAAGATTTTAAATTAAGTGGCCCCAGTCACGAAATCTGAATATGAAAAATGCAATAGAAAACATACAGCATGTGAAACAAGTAAAGTAATCAACAAGGTTCAACAACTCTAACAAATCTAAGCCTGCTTCGAATAGTCCTGTACCTTTGCACCTTGCAGTCCTATTTATTTTATTCTAAACTTAAGTATAAGTCTGGGAGCATGAAATTAGCGGCACACGCATGTGAAAATCGATTTGTGAAACAACAATAAACATTATTTTCCAAGTCACTCTAAAGTTCTGAAAAATCGACAAGTTATCAGGAATGTTAACTTTATTGTGATTTATCAATTATTTGAGTGTTTCGTCGTTGTGATTCCTTTTCAGAAAAGCTTTAACCCCTGGAGATTAATTCTCCATTAAAAAATCGCTCAAATCCTCGAAGTCTAGTAGGTAAATGGGGTTGTATTAGACAGATTTGATTTGCTGTTATGAACCTGCTAATTGACACGCCCTAAACATTAATAGAATTAATTTATTTATAGCAAAAATCGTAACACAGTTTTTGATTATGTATTATTTTGTGTGAGAATCCTGCCTTTCGCTCAGCCAATCAAAATATGTTTCCTCTTTCAGACTTTGAACTTTCTTCGTGTATTTCTTCAATATACAATACTGGATATAAAATCATGTCTACAACTCCTCAAAAATAAAGACACTAAATTATCTCATAAAATGACTGACAATGATTGAAGCAAGTCGACTGTGCAGACTTTTGAAGCACGAATGAAACATCATTTAGGGTATTAATTGCGTCATTAAATCGTCTTCGGTGACGGTCCAACAAAAGTGAGGTCACACACGCGAAACCCTGCGTGTCCTTACCTTCTTATTAAAAATAAATTATGATGTAATTTTGACGGTTAACAATGTAAAACAACTACGAAAAAATGTAATTTGAGGGCGGTCGATCCCCCGATCGATAAAATTTCAAGATTACGATCCCGGTTCGATTATTTTGGTTGATGGAAAGCATGGCTTTCGATGTGCCGCCACTATTATAATGAAGGCATTATTACTTTTGCCATGGCTAATGTGTGAAAAATCCGCTATATTAAACGCGATTATTTATTTGTTAAAATGCCTTTGCGGCGCGCTGTTGTACCTTCGTACAAAAATCGGACAAAGCGCTTTTGTTTAAGCTTAATATTGTAAATTGGAAATAAATTAGTGTGAGTGCTGAATTAATAGATGAGAGTTGCCTAATATATGCAATCATTGTACATTTAAAAAAAAAGGTTCATTAGTACCTAATTAATATTGATTAGTTTTTAGAAAACTAATAAATAAGAACAGCCGACAAATTGCATCTGACGAGAGTCCTGCATTTTTAGGTCAAATCTATCATGTTCTGTTGCAAACTGAAAGCAACCAATATTTTTTCAATTTTACGATTGTTGTTCTGTATAATCTTGCAGTGAACCAGAAATGTAGCAATTTACTCATAAAATTCGAATTTTATAACTTCCAATTAACATTCCTGGAAAATTATTTGAAGAGATATTTGCTTAGTAGCAAACTTTTCCGCGCTCAAATATCCTAAGGGGTTTATTAAAATTATTAGTATTATTAAAATAGACTTGAAAGGATTTCGCCTTTCGGAAATACACATTTAAGACCAAGGATTGTTATTAGGAGCTAAGCGGAGAAAAACCAATTTCCTCTTAAGCTTTCAATGATTTTTAGCTTTGTTATTTCGTCTCAAAAATGTTTGCCTTTCCAGAAAGATAGAATTTGCTCATGTCTTTTATAACAGATTGATATATGTGGTCTTATTTTACCATAGAGAACGAATTCTCTGTCAAAAGCACTTACTTAGGCTCAAGATGCAAGAGAAAATTCCAATTAGTTAAAAATTTAATTTAGAAAGGTTTTCTAAAAATAGTGTATTAATAAATTGTTTAACAGTGTTAAGTGAATACAAATCTTTAAAAAATGAGTTGAGACTTTTCGCTTTGTAAATTTTGTAAATTACGCGTTTTTAATTTTCAATTTTGGCAAATGGGTTTTGTATTTGTAATATTGCTTCCAATCGTATTTTCGGTTTTGAAGGTAGTTCGAATCGATAGTTAGTTTTATAATAGTTTTATTTTGATTTGGTTTCAATGGAAGAGTTTAAATTTTATTAAAACAATTGTCAACGAATAAATTTAGATAGTTATTGAAATCTAAATGTCTTTGTCTGAACTGCTTTTTTTGTGATCGTAAAGTAATTTAAAATTATATTTGCTCTCATAAACTTTTCACAATTATCGAATGAGTTTTGTTTTAAATTAATTTTATTAATTATCGGGCGATTTGAGTTAAAGTTGAAATATCTATTTGAATGACTAAGTTTTCTGTACATCAAAGTTGAGAAATTACTTGTTTGTTGTTTCATAACTAGCAAATCGAGAAAAAAATGTTGTTGCTTTGTTATTTTTCAATAGTAAATTGAATTGTTGGTTTTCCATCAGGTAGAATAAAAACTCAACAAGGTTTTGGCCCCCATGACTATAAATTGCAAATAAATCATCAATATAACGCCACCTAATTATCTGTTTAAATTTTACATTATTTATGTAATTCTCCATAAATATATTACTCTGTCTGTGATGGCCATGGGGTCGACGTTTATCGCGTTTTTTCAGTAATATATTTAAGAAAAATTTTATATGGTTAAAAACAGTTTATATAATCGCGCAAAAATAGTTTGTAGTCAATCTAATTTAACCAACGGAAAACAATTCATAAGAGTGGTTTTGAATTTCAATAATTATCCAAGCTGCTTTATGGTTAATTGTTAATAGAAATAAAAATTCACGATTAAAGCAAAATCGAAATAGACTTCTTACAAACCCCTTAATTCCATTTATGCTGGCGATTTCGAATAAAATTAAACAAATAGGTAACAAATTTTACATTAAAATCATCTTCCTATATATAAAGGGATTTGTATGCACAATTTATTAATATACTCTTTTTTAGACATCTTTTGATAAAAGTAGAAGAACTGCCATCGAATCGTCAAAGTAGCTTTTCTAAATTTTTCTTTACTAATTTATCCATCTGCAATTTTGCCTTTTAAATGGTCTAAAAAATCCAAAAAGTCAGTATTAAATTGAGACAAAGTAAATTAATTTTTATTCTTCAGAAACCGATTGCCTCGTATCTTGTATCAGACTGCGACAAATATGAAAGTTTCAAAATGCCAGACGACTTATATTATTTCTCGAAGTAAACTTAAACCACTTGTGGTTAGACTGTAAATAATAGGCTACTAGACACTATCAATATGGCTTCAAAGGGCGACAAAAAAATCCCGACATGTAATATGCCAGTAGCAATTTCAGATCAATTCCGATGTTTTTAACTTAATTCCATTGCTCTAGTTATTTGGCGAAATTCGAGTAAAATCACAGTAAAAGTCAGAATTTACATTTGAAATGCTTGTGTGTCCCCAGAAAGAATATTTAGAAATTAAGTGTGATTTCTTCCGGAACCGCTTTTTCCAATTCTTGGACACTAAGCCGCTATTGTTCATCTTTGATCATGAAAATGAAAAGCGAAAACGACGATCGTTATGATCGTAGTTTTTCTCGGTGTTTCTAACTCCAAATGATTGTGTGTTGCTGTATTTACACCATCCTGTACAACAGGAAAAGGAACAAGAACTAAATAGGCTATCGATAAAATTGCTTTTCTGTCCATGCCATTTCCAAGTTTACATGTTTTGCAAATGCCCAATTAGGGAGCGCAACGGGAGAACAAAACGGTTTTGTCTTGTTTCTCTTGTGCGGCATAGTTAAATAAACGTCCAAATTGTGGAGGTTGATTTTAAATTTTATCTCGAAATCAGTCTTTCTGCTATTTCTGAGTTTAGGGAATGTCTGATTTTAGTACTGATTCTGTGAAAGCAGGGAATCAATTTATACATTTTTGTGTATCATAGATGACCCACAACTCACGCCGAACTGAACTAATTTCGTAATCACAATTGATTAAAAATAAACGCAATAAAATGTGAATTTTTGTTAGTAATTTATTTTTATTCTACTAAAAGTGTTTTTTTCCAGAGCGTAAATGGCCAAGGTGTTGTTGGAGGGCACAACGAAAACGGCCAACAATGCCACGCTTGTCTTCTTGGGGCCTGCAGAACCATCAATGGAATTTACACACGACCAGATTTACCTTCAGGTTATTCCCTGGTTACCCAGATTCCCAAAGGAGCCTGTGGACTGCACGTTCAACAAATAAAATACACTCGAAATATCTTAGGTGAGCTAGTGAAGCAGTTTTTCTTCAATAAATACTGTCAATTATCTTCAAGACAAAGCGATAAATAACCACTTCAACCAGACAATTATTAACCGAGAAAAAAACATTATATAGGACAAACAGGCAAAGGATTTTTCCATAATTGGCTATGCAACAGGCAAATGCAAATTTCCATTTTTAAATAGTCGCTATTTCAATGTAAACAACTGGCAATTATGAATGCAAAATCCATGTTATTAGTTAAATTGCTCTATTGAAGCTCGGACCTCCTGGTGTGTGTAAAATAATTACTTGCCTATGCTGAAGAAAACAGAACAAACGCACTAATGTACACATGTTAC